CATAGCTTGCAGCCAGCTTTGCAGAGACATCAGCAGGTACTGTGTAAGAAAATGTATCAGAAAGCACTGCCATAGCAGTTCATTTTTCCTGACATAAGCCTTCACACCTTTCTCTGTTTGGCATGTAAATAGTTAATCTACCTGAGATAATAGGTAGGAGCATTTTTCCTTTCAATAAAGTTTGGTTCCTGGAGGCAGATCTTTTTTTCCAGCGAGTCTGAGATAATTGGAAGGGTAGGGTGAGGCAGGAAACCACGACACGCCTTTGTTGGGACTTGTTTAAGAGCACAGGAATAGAAAAGCAGAAGAAGGGCGAGAATAAGACAGGTTAAATAAAGAAGAGGTGAACATTTTTGGATGATCACTCAGATTCCACACACCTTTGGAAGGACGTGATATAAAGTGTAGGTGGCAAATTTTGGTAGAAAGGAACGGTTGAGGAGAAATACAGATTTTCAGTTCAGTAACCAAAGCACTCCAGGTAAGTTAAATTACTAAAAAAAAAAAAAAAAGAAGAAAAAATATCCTGTATTTTCTCTCTTCCAGATTCCTTGCAGAACAAGGCTGTATTCTCAGGCAAAATAGAGGAGGTGTTACATTTTTATGTGGGGAATACAATATAAAAATAAGATTGTGTAAGAGCTGGGTCATTTTGGTTTTGTGTTTCTCAGTGAATATATCTCTTTTAAAATAAGTATCAGGTGAAAGGAGTATACCTACTGGGAGATAAGAAATGCGAAGCCAAGCTCTGGGTACATCTTTAATGCATTTTGTGAAAGCACTGTGCAAATAGATGAAGTTTAGCTGGATGTTCTCTGTTCCATAAGGGTACCAACATGGTGAAATGCAGATCATCTGTTGGCTGTTTTTAAAACTGAGCAGATCTGAAATGTGCTGGAGGAATAATGATTGTAAATTGAAGCTTCAGATGGTGGGTGCAGCGTGTAATATTAAGAAATTGATCTCTAGTCCTGAGAATGCCTGGAACTGATTCTGAGTGAAAGTTTGTGTTGCCGTGGTCAAGCTTTGCTTTGTCTCAGAGAGGTGGGTTTATTTGTCATCAGTGACTCATTGATTATGGACTTTTGGCCACATTTTTGTCATAGAAGGTTAGGAGGCACTGTAAGGTGTTTCTAAAGCTTGTCACAGTAACTCAGAAAAGTCTTATTTGAGAATCAGTTTGAATCCTTTCTGCACCAGTTCTATCAATTTGAACGTAGTGGCATAAGGTAAAAGACCTGTCTTCTCTTCCTGTCTTTGAGCTGACTTGTAGAATGACTTCGGGCAGGTTGCTTGTCCCTCTCTGACTAGTTTCTTCATCTGTGAAATGGTGACAGCAGCACTTTCCTGTTCTGCAAACCTTTTTTATGTAATAGCAGATTGTTTGTCTCCCTTTCTATGCCAGAGGCGAGAAGCTTGTGCAGGTCAGAATGGCCTTGCTTTGGCCTGTTTCTCTTTGGGTAGCACAATTAAGTAGGCATGGTGAGGACACATTTTTGAAAGGAAGGCACCTGGCAGTGCAGAGTGAAGTCTGGGCTGTACTCCTGCTTGTGCTCTGGGAAATGAGCACATACTGGTGTCAAAGAAGCTGGGACAGATTGCGGGCAGAGCAGAATTTGATTCCTACAACACATCCAGGCTTTGGCTGAGCATCTAACCTGCTTCCCTGGCATTAGCGTCATTTCAGTTAGTCTACAAAATGAGCAGATTTGGAAGCATGATTTAGTTGATTTGACTCTGACTGTGTTGGTTTTGGTAGAATAACTGGAAAGGAACAGCTTTTAAAGCAGAATGAGAAGGTCAGATTCCTAGAGAGTGGGGTAAAAGAGAGATAAGGGGCCATTTTTGAACCAGTTCTTTTAGTCCCAGGACAGTGGCACCTGAAAGGCTTGATTAAGAGGAAGGGGCACCGTAAGAGACATTTGATATGATGGGACCCATGGCATTTACTTTTAACACAGTCAGTGATGTGGTTTGGAGGCATCTACTGAGTCTCAGAGTATTCGTGATCAAAGGGTTCCACTGACATTAAATATTATTAAACCAAGCACCTGCTGGTGCCTCTTTCTCCTAATGGAGTGTCTCGCAGCAGGAGCCTTTATTAATGGAGGGAGGAGAGAGCTGAAAGGATGTGTTCTGAGAGTGTAACAGCGTTCTGACATGAAAACTGGAAGGACATTGTGGAGGAATAAAAGAATCTGAAATGTGCCTGCTTTCATATTTCCATTAGAATATGTCTTTGTGGCTGTTCCTCTCCCCTTTGAAAAATGTCTGTAATAAACTTTATTACCATTGCACACAATACCTAATTTCTAAACTAATAAGAGGGTTTTGAATGTCCCATCTCAGGCTGGCTCAGGATCCTTGCCAGTGCAGCCAGGTGGAACAGGGGGCACCCTGCAGTGTTGGGCTTATGTGAAAAGCAGAGATATAAGCACGCTTTGCAAAGCTGGGCAGCTATTACTATCCTGCTTTTCAGTGCTATACAGAGAAGAAGCAGTGTGCACAAGTGTGGCAGTCCTAGACCTCTCTTGGTTCCTGCTGCCATTAAGCTCTGCAAGTTCCCTGGTTTTGTGAGTGCCCAAGCCCACTACAACCCTTGAGCTTATGTTAAAGTGGCCATAGGGTTGCCCTGTCTTATGCTGTCCACACTGTTTGAGAGTGATCCCACTTCACAAGTTCCTGCTTGTTGCTCTGAAATAATTGCAGGTGGCTTCTCTAATTCAACAGTGCTGTTGCTTTGCCACAGACACAGCCCACAGCTATGTCTTTGTGAATCCAGATAGCCTGGTGAAATGAGTCAGTCCTGGCAGATGATGGAAATCCAGCTCAGTCAGCGGGCTGGAGCCTGGACTGGCTTTTGCATTCACGTGGCAAACACACATGCAACATAGATCAAAATGCAACATGTGCTGGGGCTGGGCTGTGACATGTGTGGCTCCAAAGATGTGGTTTAACTTGTTTTGGTTGTTTTTGGATTGGTTTCAGAGCAAGATATTCCCCTTTCTCAAGGGAAGGCAAAGATGCAAGAGAGGCATTCACTCCATGGGGGTGCTGGCCTCTTCCAGCATCCATAACCAGCACTGTTTCCCAGTCGTAGAAGGGAATTGGAGTTCTGGGGCTACAAAGCAGCAGGAAAGTGGTTTCCTAACACAAAGCCATGTTCCCTGCCAAAAACACTGGCAAAGCCAACAGTGCTGACATCTAGACAGCAGCTTCCAGCATTTGTTTTTAGGGAAGGAGCTTGCAAGATGCTTCTACTGTTGATGCAATAAGGAAGAGTAGCAGAGATATATTCCCTTTCCTTGGAGTGAATGGCCAGGAACCCTTCCATTGCAGGAGCTGTCACCCTGCTGGAGGAGGAACTCTCCTAATGCATATAGCTGTAGTCCTGCATATGCCTTGGAGTCAGCGCCCTGGATAATCCCTTGGAAATCCCCAATGTTAGCAAGCACTGCAAGGGTTGGGTAGTATCCTGCTGCCAAGGTTGTGTAAGGACTTGGATGTGGCCTCAGGAGCCCCATTTACAGGACTGCTTAGCCAAGCTCAGGGTCTGAGTTGCGGAGAGTGAGGGCTGTGGGCACTGTGGGTGTTCTCTGCAAAGTTCAGCTGAGTCTGTGATAGGAGGCTAAAGTGGCTTGCCTCCTGCACTCAACATGTACCTATCTAGCTCTGGGAATAGTGGGAGCTGCCCGAAGACAGAACTGAATCTGAACTTCAGATACTGCTGCACATTCCCTGCTGCATCCTGCCTTGTGTAATTATTTATGCATGGGCAGTACCAGGATAACATCAAGGGGGCTACTTGGTAGACACTTTGCAGAAGGGTAAGTGGAATCATGACGATCAAACTCAAGTGGTGGCTGAATTCGAGGGCACAGTCATGGGTTCTGCCTCAAGCTGGGCTCTAAAACTTGGAAGGAATTCTGCCCAAAGCTTTTTATTAGACTCAGCCTGTTAACTGTGTAGTGTTTGGTACAGAGCTGCCCCTTCAGTTTTAAGGAAAAGTCTTCAAATGCAGTGGAGAGTTTTGGTCTATTATCACCTTGTGCACAAATTAAGATCTCTTCCTTCTCATTGTTTGTGGCTGCACAAGATGAAATGTTATCTTAGAGAGACTAGGAGTGAGGAACTATATATTTCCTTCTGACAGAAGTGTTTTCTTTTCTAGCTGATGTTTCAAAAAAAAAGAGATTGTACTAGAGAGGGATCCAAGTCATGAAGAAGAGTATACACAGCATTCACAGCAGTGATTCCAATACCGTGTAGACTGACCTGAGCTGGCATTAAATTAGATCAGATTCCAAAGCCACAGACAAGGCCTCCAAACCATCTCTGCTCAGCCTGTAAGACAAAGCACTTTCTACCTTAAGTTCCTTGCTGCTGAAAATAGGTACCTCCGGTGTTGTTCTGCTTCACTAAAGGCAGTGCTGTGGCTTTAGCATCAGCATACCCTGAGAATGCACAGTATTACTGTCAAGTATCATCTCTGCTTAGGTTTCTCTGGCAGTACTAACATGGTGTAGGTAGTTTACTCCTGCAGCTACCTGCATTTCTAATCCTGTGCTGTTGAGTCCTGCCCAAAGCAGATGTGTGGGAGTGGCATTTGGATCCTGTGGTTTTGATCAAGACTTTATAGGGGCATAGCTGGAGATCATAGTGTAGTGCCACAAATTCTGGATATGAATCCAGGTCTAAACTTCTCCAGCACTGAGTGGATTTGCTTCAGTTGCCTCTGTCTCAGCTGTTGGCTTTACAACCCTTCCTGCTGTTTTAGCTCTGCTGCATTGTGCAGCATCCAGTTTTGTAGGCAAGTGGTGCTAGTCTACTAGTAATACTCACGTGGCTCTGGAAAGGCACCCTGGCAGAGATGTCTTCCAGGCAGTCTAGTCCCCAGCTGAAGGGAGAAAAGTGGTGGGACTTGTGGGGAGCTGTTGTTATCTCCTATTATTCACAGAGCTCTGAGCACAGTCTCTGCTTTCCCTGCAGGTGGCAATGGTATGGATTCTGTAACAAAGAAAACGAGGCAGGATGGATCAGAAGTTACTGAAAGACGTAAGGAGAACATTTTTTATTTTTACGTCATGCTCTAAAAAAACCAGAAGTGGATGCCCAGTTTTGTAAGGGATTGAATGCTGATCAGAGGTCCAGGACTAAATACTGCACCTGTCCTTGGTCTTTGTTGAAGTCAGAATAAGGAATAGAACAAGCCAAGATCAGACAGTTAGAGACATGTAGCATGACCAGATTGTTTAACCACAGATGATTGCCCTGTGGCAACATTTCTAGCCAGTAGTGCAGACATTTAGATTCTCCTCCTACCTCTGATATCAATGCCCTGCATGGCCTAGAAAATGTTGTTTAGATCTCTTTTTTGGCTCTGTGTTAAACAGAGGATAAGTTTCCTGCTGGCGTTATAGGAGTTAGCTAGTAGGAGGCTAGTAAGGGGCCTGACCATGGGCTTTGCTTTTCTGTTACGGCGATGGCTGTGGTTCAGAAGTGCCCAGAAATAATAATTGCATGTTTTACAGGGATCTTGAAAGAAAAAAAGTCTTTCATGTAGTTCTTAGTTTCATGATGTTCTTAGTTACTGCAGAGTTAGAAAGGCCAGCAAACAAACACACAGCATTGTGTGCTAATGAGACTGCAACCCCCAGGCAGCGTGGTCTTAAGGGACTTTTCTTTAAATGAGTCAATCTTCTTTGAATGAGCCGTAGTCTTCCATGGAAATTATGTAGAACATTGATCTTGTTTGGCTATATTAACATGCCATTACTTCTGCAACCTTTTCTTTCCTCAGTTATTACAGAGACAGTAACCACAAGACTGACGTCCTTACCACCCAGTAAGTAATTCTCAGTCATTACATTACTTCTGCTCAGTGTTCTGTGCCTCTCCATGCTATTTGACTGCATTATTTCCATAAATCCCTGAGTGCAGCAGGTCTTGGTGCAGAAAGACTTGCACCCAAAGAGAAGCTATTTTCAGAAATGCCTCTGCCAAAATACTTGTTAGTGGAGAGAAGGAGCAGTATGTGGGGAGCCATCTGGGTATTGTGAGAAACACAGGTGCACAGTCCACTAAGACTGGTAGACCAGACTCTTTAGGGGCTTAATCCCAGATATATCTCCAGTGGTGGCTGTCTCTTGGGGACAAAGTTCAAAAGTGGTGGGTCTGCAGCCTCCACTGCTGGGGCTGCAGTGTGTTCCCCTGTCGTCTTACCCAGTTGACAACAGTGAGTGAATCTTTTTGGGTAATATCAGATGTCACGGGTGATTTCTACCTCTGTAGGAAAGCACAAGTACCAAGTAGGGAAGAATCCTCCATGCTCTTTATATCACCGTATTCTTGGCTTGCTGCAGCAGGGTTGGAATGGAATTGCACTATCATCTAATTTATGATGAGTGTTAACAGGAGTATCCTTCAGTCCATGTATGGAGCAAAACTTGAATACAAACCTGCTGGGTCTGCAGTGTGAATGCTTATCTGCTCTGCCAAGACACTTCTCTGCAGTTCTGGTATCTCGCCGGATGTGAAGCTATACTTGTAATTGAGTCTGAGGACAGTCTTGCAGTGTCCTTGCTCTTCTCATCTTTTACTCTGAGAGAATGTCTCATTTTCTGTTCATCTCTTCCAGAAGGAGGGAGCAGCAGTGGACTCAAAACATCATCTCACACTGGAGGGAGCGGAGTGGAAAAGAGGTCTTACACCCATAGCAGCAGCTATGTAACTTCAAGTAAGGAGTCAATACATTGCACAGCGAGGAAACAGAGAGCAAAGGCAGGATAAATGGTCTGGGGAGAGATTCAGGGCAGGGAAGGAGAATGACCCAGAGGTAAGGAAAACAGGGTTTATGAAGGTAGTAGTGGCAAACCCTCAAAGCAAAGGTATTCCTTCCCTAAAGTTGGATGAGTAAATGGCAAAATTCACATTTTCCACAGGGAAAACTTGATTTCAGGAGAAAACAACAAAAAATGCCATTCCTACTGTTGTTAGGAAGTCATTCAGAAACCGAATTTCCCTTCTTTCAGGACTTCCAAATCACAATCTTTCTGTCCATTTTTGTTCAAAAGACAGTTTTGATTAATCTTTTTGTTGATCTTGCTGAGGATAGAATTCTATTAAAGAATTTCCTAAAAGATATTTCTTGTGTGTGTGTCCATGGTTTTAGCACATAGAACAAGCAGTCTGCCAGATTTTCTGGATGTGCTAAATCAATATGTGCTGTCTACTCCATAAAAACAGGGTTCTTCTCTAACAGCATTCTTTGCCAGCTGTTAGATTGTCACAGCAAAAGTTTCTGAAAAATAAGCTTCCTAGCCAGGTTTGTGGCACAACCCTCTTTCTGTCCCCAGTGCAACAGAATGTATAACTATCCTTCTAGAAAACATTTTCCATGCTCCGAAAGAGCCGGCAAACCAAAGGGAATGAAGTGCACTTTGGAAAGTCAGCAGGAGAATTAGCCATACCCAATAGATCTGACAGACACCTCCATACCAATTAAAGGCCAGAGTGTGGAATCACTTTGCCTCAGGGCAGATGTGAAGAAACTCCAGTGAAGATGTCGGTCTAATTGTCTGGACTGGCACTAGTCTGAGAACTGAATCCAGCCCTGCAAACTCAGACAATTCTGCAGGATTGATGTCTTCCTTGTTATTTCTATACAGTGTGTGGAGAAAGAGGAAAGAATCTGAACTTCAGAGATAATGACTTCTTCAAGTTTCACAGAGCATTTTCTAATCTCTGCTTTCCCACTCTGCTTGCAGAATGCCTCCAACAGAGGCCCACTTGTCACAGTAGTTCTTTCTGCTGAATTAAGTGGAAAAATTACAGAACAAACCAGGTCCTTGTAGAGGGGAAAGTTGTCAAAAAAACACTCTGTTGAGATCACTGCTCATCAGTGTGGATATGTTGCATTTTATCACAGGGCTCCCTTTTTACTGCACTCTGATCATACTCCAGAATTAGATTTCATAAAGAGTATGAACACATTAGTTATGGCTGCTTAGTTCTTTCTCCACAGCACTGATGTGAATTAGGAAGGGAAATTCTTTCCTCTGTCTAAATATAGCAGCCACTAACAACCTCCAGGCTGCTTTGAGCCTGGCACACACCTCAATCACTTCTCCAGGAAATGGACTGACTAAGGCAGGACTTAGTGAGACTGTGGATAGCTGCTTTGGAAGGGAAGTGGACTCATCTCTGCTTTCACTTATCTCATGAACTGCATCCTTCACCACTTTGAGTTTGGGTTAGCAGTCTCCCAGTTTTTGTGGCCTATGTCATGTAACACTTGAGTTTGCAGGTGGATCTGTATCCAAACTGAAACCCAGCACCATCCAGAGCCAGATTTATTCCAGCTCAGGGGAGATGGCTCATTCATTCCCCTAGGCCAAAACCTGCTGTCATGTATGTCATTGACAAGATTTGTTTTGAAACCACAAAGAAAACCAATACTCCTTTCTGCACTGAATGCTGAGGACAACCAAAGGTAGACCCAAATGTCATTCTTGCTGATCTCTAGTTGTGAAGTACCAATGCAAATTTGTCCAGCTCAGAAGGCAGTAGCATAAATTACCCAGGGCATCCAGGGTGTACATCCAGGGCATATCTGCAATTTGCTGAGAGCATTTTGTTTTACATATAGGTGGAAGTGGTAGATTGAATTCATCATCATCGTCCTCCGGCTACAGACAAACCCAGTCTCCCAGCTCTACTCTCACCAAATCACCTGGTTCAACATTTGAAAGAAAAACCTATGTCAACCGCCATGCAACATACGAAGGTATCACATAACATGCCATAGAAAGGAGACAATGTGTAGTGTGTACTCACACTCACGTTAATGCAGGATTGTCCCAAATAGCACAAGAATCCCCTTGTGGTTTTGCTAGGAAATCAGCCATCAGGGACACATTTTAATGATTAAATCCTGTTTATAGTAATGCTCATTCCTAAAAGGAGTTGTGACATATTTTTGTTGAAAGACATTAGCAGCTCTTTCATGTAATCCTGAATAGCCTTTTTTTTTAATGGAAATGTTTGTTACCCACTGGGATTAGACAGTTACCTAGAAGACCTGATTTTACAGCTTTTAATGATCTTTTGCAAAGTATTAATGAACACCTTTCTGTTCTTTCCAGGGAGCTCCAGTGCCAATTCTTCTCCTGAGTTCCCCAGAAAAGAGTTTGGTATGTTCTTTTTAGAGCTGTCCCTCTGAACATTATGCCAAGGTCATGTGAGTTGGTGACTATGGTGGCTTTTTGCTCATTGCTGTGTCTTAGTCTACCTATGCTGCTTTGTATTGGGCAGCCAGTGCAGCTCCATGACTTCGGAAGAGTTATTTGGGATTTACATTAACAGCTGACAGCAGGGTCTCTAGCTGACACATATTCAAATAGAGGGTGCTTACCATATATCTGCTACCCTCAGCTGCTTTTATGTGGCTCCCCATATGGCCTAGGACATGGACAGGAGAACATAGATATGGGATGCTTCATAACATTTCCTCCCCACCCTGCCATAGCTGGGAGAACAGCTCCAAGCAAGAAAGCCCAGACTCAGGATTTTGAGCCATTGCTGGAAATACTTTTCCAGTAGCTCTTTTCTAAGCTTCAACATGTTCATATGGAAGGATGAACTGGCTATCAAGTGATATATTTACATTTAATATTGTCAGCAGGTGTGAGCCTGCCCTGTCCAAATTTTGAGCTGCCAGCGAAACACTATGGTTAGGCCATCTTTCTGGCTCAGAGAGGAGGCAGGGTTTCACAGTGATCAACCTGGGTTGGTGAGTAAACAGGCCTATGAGCTTCCTTTTGGTCTGTTGAAATGGGAGATCACCATCTATGAACAATGTTTATGTGTACAAAAAGAAACAGCAGTTAGCCCGGAAATGCTAAAGGTGCTACTTACTCTTTAAGATACCTTATGGTCTAAAGGGGGCCTGGTAAAAACTCTTAAGGGTTCAATTCCCCAGCCATATCCCAGGCAAAGAAGGTCACTGTCTGAATCTGAGCACTCTGAGCAAGATCCACGTGTTCATTTTCAGAGATGTCATAGGCAGTAAAGCCTAATACTGCTTTTCTCTCATTGCTGTTCACAGCATCTGCCACCACTAGAGGGAGAAGCCAAAGTCGAGGTAAGTGATACTGTTCTTTTAGAAGCCTCCTTTGTTTTCTCCAGTATGATTCAGGGTGTGTTAAATGAACCTATTCCTTAGCTGGAATCAACCAGTTTAAGTGTAGAGCAGTCAGATGAGGTACGTGGATTTACACCACTGCAGCTGTGAACCATTTATCTGTAAGCAACTGCTTAAACAAGCCTGGTGTAAAAATTGACCCTAGTGAAGGTCATGGTGGTTTGGACTGTGTCAGAAAGGAGGATCTACTTGGGGACATCTGGGGGGCATAGGGGGGCATAGGACATAGTCTTCCATCTTGTCTGTTCACTACCATAAACTCAGTCCATCCATGCTCTGTGACCCACCTCTTGACATATTTACAATAATTGTATTCATGTTCTCCTGCTGCGATCTGTCTTACAAACCATAAGGCCATACCCTGAAATGATCTCATGCTGGTAGTGAGGAGATGGTGAGGAAATTACGGACTTGCTGTGGTCTGTTTAGCCAGATCACTGTAAAGCTCTGCATTGTTTAAATCATTCAGCTCTTCTAATAATTTATTAACAGTGTTGGGGAAAGCAGGATTATATTGCTCTGTAAGAGTGTAATATCTGTTCCCAGTTGCTTGAAGAACAAACTATAATGTCACTTTATCCAAGTTAATTTTAGCAGTGGATATAAATCAAAGTGTGCTCTTGCACACTCCTCCTGGAGAGTGTCACAGCTACCAATTATTCTACCTCAGATCTTCACAGTCTCCTCAAGCATACTACATACCCGAGCTCTCAGCAAAACTAGGCCATACATAATAAAACAGACACCAGAGAATCAGCTCCAGCTTCTCATATTACTTCAGAAAATAATTCCAATCCATCAGCTTCTCCGCATGAATGCCAAAGCTAGAGTTTCTTTTATAGTACATGTCTTTTATAGTGCACTGTCAGATTTCATCTTGAGGAGCATGTATCACATGTCCTGGCTGGCCAGTTTGCTTGTGGGTAGCAAGCTTAAAGGCTTGCCCCAACCAAATCACATTAACTTTGTAGTCTCTTGTGCTGGACCGTAAAAGTCAGTAATAAAATCAAGTACCTGTTGAGAATGTTGGCTTAAAACTGGCCTGGTTACATTCAGTGAGCCAAAAAAGAAGTCAGAAGGTTGTAAGAAACTAAATTGTACAGCCCATTGTAGAGATGACAGTGTGAATTTTACTGAAGAAGTAGTAGGGTATTTGTATATTTAGTAAGCTTCTTTTGGCACTCTAGGTTTTTGTCCAGAAGGACAACAATAACAGTAATTGTGATGGATGGGAATATCAATGTGATTGAGGACTGTATAATTAGGCCTTCTGTATGCCTGGCAGTAACAATGCTATTGACTTCAACAGAGGCCCTCAATGAGTAAAATAATAGCTCTGTGGAATTAAAAGTAGCAAAATGTGACCCCAAAACAAAAAATCACCCAAACCAATTTACAACCAATTCACATAGGCCATGAGTGCTGCTCAGATCAAGGAAGATGGAACATAGACAGCAAGAAGGAAGGAATTCACTTCAGCCTGAAGATTCATCCCCAGCCCAGGGCACATATGCATCTCAGTCCATATTCATGATCTGCTTTTTCTCTCCCCAGAGAGTGAAATACGAGTCCGACTGCAGAGTGCATCTCCCTCTGGCAGATGTAAGTGCTATGCCTTTTATTCCAAGGGGATCAAGTGTAAGATAGAGGGTGTTGCTGCTCTGGGTATGTCTGCAGTGTCTCTGGGACACAGCCTTCATGTCAGCAGCATGTCATTCTTTTTTTTCCTGTTAAGAATGTTTATTTGTCTCCCCTTTCTGAACAAGGAAGCATGTTGTGGGTTAGATGGTGGTCTTGCAAGGATGTAGTTGTAGTTAGTCCCAGCAATGAGGCCCTGAAGCTTTGTTGGTAAGTAAGTGGCACCCCCAGAAGGCACCCCCAGAAAGTACAACTTCATAGACATTCACAGGTAAATTCCACTGAATGGTTTAGCCAGAGTAAGATTACAGATCAATGAAACAATGACTTTTGGGTGAGTCTGGACACTTGCTTTTCCTGCCAGGGACAGAGTTGGATGATGTGAAACGTCTGCTGAAAGGAAGTCGATCAGCCAGCTGCAGCCCTACTCGATCACCGTCAAGTACGCTCCCGATACCAAAAAAGGCTGTGGTGGAGACAAAGCTGGTTACTGAGAGCTCTCAGTCAGGTACTTGGCAGAGGACGGTTAGCAATGCTGGAGTCACTCCAAATATTATTTGTCATAAAAATACCCACTTTCTAAGAACATCTGAGTAAGAATACACGGTCTCTGTCCCAGACAATGGTGACAATACAGAAAAAGGGTCCAGATGTTGCCCTAACAAGACTTGTCTAATTTCCATAAATGTAAGCCGGTTCCTGCTGCCACCAGCTTTAATTCAGAGGTGCTTCTGGCAGACACGAGCTCTAAGCAAACATGTCTTAGAGTGATTTGATCTCTTCTTTCCAAGTAAGATGGGGACAGCACTGAAGACAACATTTGGGGCAGTGTTTGATTTATTGGCCACACCACATGACTCAGAGATCACTAGAACCTGACAATAACAGAAGTTGTACTTAAAATACTATAACCAGTTTTTATTATTTATAAGCCTCACCACAGTGCTTGAGGCAGTGGTATTCACATTCACTCCACTGACCTCCACCAGTGTCTAGGAACAATACCTTTTTTCTTGTGCATGGCTCAAATCCTGTCTAAAACTGGGAATTTTAATCCAATATACTAGTGAACCAATCAGAGCCACATGTAGGAAGCAAAAGTCATACATCCCATGGCCCGAATGATGTATTAACAGAATGGTGGACCAGTGTTTTATTCTGGTATCATAGCATCTACAAGCAATGAAATCTCTTTGAGGTGTTTTGTGAATGATCATGCTATCAGGTCAATCTTTATTACATTGGTTAAAATTTAGGTGGGCTGTAGTCACTTAGCATTTGAGATCGGTAGTGTCATGTTAAACTGGAGTCATTGTGTTGATTCCACAAGGGTAATTGAAATTTAAGGCAGATGAAGTTGTTTGCCATGTAAACCTGCAATGCATGCTAAACCAGAAGCCTGGTCTCATTAAAAAACATTTCTGTTTGGCTGTTTTTTTTACAGTGTCGGGGACATATGATACAACCATACTGAATACTGCGCTCCCTTCATACATGTGGTCCTCCACTCTGCCTGCTGGGTCTTCCCTTGGCGGATACCATAACAGCTCTTCCTTGATCAATGCTATGTCTCAGTCTACAGGATCAGGTATGCTCCCTGGACTGCCCAGGCTTGAAGGATGTAACTCCATACTGAAACTGGGTCAACAGCAGTGGGTTTTTTTGCACAGCAAGAAGAACTAAAGTGATGGAAGAATTGGGATGGCAGGGGATGTGTTTGAATTTTCTCTGGTTTTCTGTAACTTGATGCTCTCTGCTTCTACACTGACTGTATTTGAAAATCCTTCTTTGTGAGGATCTATTGTCCTGACTGCCTGATCACTGAACTTTAATGATAGCTTTATCAATGATGTCAGGCTCACATTCCCTACCAAAACTATTTTTAGAGTGTAGCTAATATTGGATTATCCTGGTCCATTGTAAGAATGACTGGGCCTAACCTTTCAGGCCTCATACACTAAAGATGTAATCGGTAAGTGTTGAGTGTGCTTGTACCTTGTAAGGCCCTATTCTAAATGCCAGGGGTGCTGCATTTCCCAGCTGCAGAGAAAAACCACAAGAAGCTTTATGATAGCATGCTGTTGAAAGCTTTGCTTTCTCACACTGTCTCATGATTGCAACTTCTCTGATGTAGTATTTTCTCCCCTATATCAGTTCAGTAAGAGTGGTTTGGAGTCACAATTTTCAAGATTTTTCCTCCGTGCAATTATTGTGCATTTTCACTTACTGCATTTCCAAGTGACTCTGACTCTTAATGTCTGTGACTGTGCCACTGACCTTTGGGCACTGGATTTCCAATTCCAGAGAAGTAATAACATTTCACTTCCTCTTTTTGCAGTTTTTGGTGTTCCAAATAACCTGGCTCCCAGCAATCCCACTCTGAACGCAGGCCTGAGCACTTCCTCTACAGGTCAGATTTTTCTCTTCTTCCCTTCCCACTTTCACATTGTCACAGTCCTGGCAGACAGGTACAATGAAATAATACCTATACCACTCTGTTTCTCTTCTGTTCCTCATCTCAGTGTCAGCAGCTTGTCTGCACACCCCAGTTATTCTTTGGTTATGGTGGATTTATTCTGAGTTGGCCCTGTATGTTTGGTATTAGCTCCTGGCTCTTTTTATCTGGGAGTCAGGGAAAACTACAGATTTTCCAAGGAGAATAATTTGTCTTTTGAAAGACATCTGTTAGGCCAGTCTGTTTCTTCCCTAGAACAACTCAGAGTAATGCCTTAAAAAATGTACTTATGTGTCCTGATCCATAAAGACCCACTGCTCCTCTGTCAGTTTTCCCTGTCATTTCCCTTCTCCTCACTTTGCTCATGACTTCTGGCAGACCCTCTTCAATGTCACTAAACCACTTCTCTTCCTTTCACAGTCACACACACTATGGCTACACAGCACAGTGCCACCACACAAGGTCTCTGACTGGGCCTGCAGAGAGAGCAGGGGGTATGAGAGCAGCCTGTACACTACCCTAATATTGTCACACTGACTCTGATACCAAAGGTGCCACCTTCCAAACGGTTTTCTTCTCTCTGAATAGTACTTTGACACATACTGTGTGCAGTTATCTCTTTAAATTTCCCTTAGTTGGACCAAGCCGGTTTTCTGAATTTACATTTTTCCCAAGTGCCTCACCTGCAGAAATGTCCATGGAGCCATGAGAGTGGCCTCGCAATCTAACTTTAGATAATGTTTTAAAATGGTCATCATTATTCACCTGGGCCAGCAATAATTTATACAGCAAAATGATCTAGGAAAAAAAACATTTTGTAAGGAAGATCTTTGAACAGAAATGCTTAGGGCTGTGATGCCTCCAGCTAGCTGGTGAAATTTCTTGGGAGAGGTTGTCATTATTGTCACCAGTTTTGCTTTCATTTTAGCCGGAATACCACCTGCACTGCAGGATTCCTATAATCCCCATTGCAATGTTTTTCTTTCCAGTGTTTGGAGTTCAAAACAACCTGTCTCCAAGCTCTTCGACCCTGACCCAGAATGCTACTGCAGCCTCCGCAGGTCAGCAACAATTTAAGCCTAGAGAAAGTGTGAGGGTCACCAATGTGTGCTGCCTTCTCCCACCTTTTCTATAGTGACTAGAAAGTTCATATTGACAGAGGCTCCTTCATTGCCATCTTTGTGTGTGGAGAAGTGTGGTATGAAGGGATATTGAGGAACATTTCCTCTGCTTTGTTTGTGCAGAAACAGCTCCCATTGCCTGTGTAAGCACCAGAGATTTTCTTGCTGGGGAAGCCCTTGCTTGTTTGAGTTGTCCTAGGTACCTTGAATGAGAAAAGATTTTTCAAATGGTGTGCAGCCCAAAGTTGGTGTGTTGAGGTACCTTGTTATCCTTCATTCTTTCATTCTTGAATTTCTTCATTGCAGCATATGGGGTGAAAAACACTTCTCAGAGCAACACCATGACAAGTACTGGTGTGTCTGCCTCAGCAGGTGGGTGTATCCTTCACAGTTGTTTAGGCATGGCCTTGTACAAGCATATCATGATAAAAATGAGTTAGAGATTCAGCCATCTGAGTGACACTAACACCTGGCTCCTCAGGAGCATGACTTGTCACTAGAAAGCAAATGAGCCAGAAGCTAAGAATGAGCAAATGAGCTGGTCTGATTCAGATCTCCTCCACTTTGTGGTAACTCAGATGATTTAATTACAGCTATTTCTGCTCAACAGGCAGGTGACTGCATAGAAGATCACACATGTGAAATTGTGCTTCGTTTGAAGCCAAAACATTTGTAAGGTTGCTCTTGAACATAATTTTGCAATAGTACTAGCCTCAACTGCTCAAATATCAAGGAATTGACCTATAAATTATCAGGTCTTTTTTTTTAATGAGAGAAGTTGTGGTCTTTTTACTGGCCTTTCATCCTTGAACCATTGGGATTAATCTTTTCCAGGTTTTTTCTGCAACTCTAAGAGCTATAAAGAAGTCTTTTATTTTTTGTGTCAGGGAAGCCAAGTTTCTTTTGTAATCCAAGGATCACAAAGATGAGGCTTAAAAATAGATGTAAATACCACAGAAGTTGTGATAACATTTCTAATACAGGTTTACTCCGAGTTTGTGCTAGCATAATGGAACAATACCATTCTGGTTATCTTGATTTTCAATGTTGTGTCAATTTGTGTGCAAATTCAGGTTTGTACACTGTTCCAGGCATGCTTGGTACTGCCTAATGGCAGAAGGGTCACAACGCCAGTGTTTTTGAGCCTTGTTTGGGCTGTGCCCAACCTCAGTAATCTACAGTTCAATGCCTCATAACCATGCCTGGCTCCCAAGGATATGGAGTGCTTTGTGCTTGACAGAGTGGGTCTGCTAAAGGTGCTTCTCAGGTTGAGATGTGCCGGCTCTGATGCCCCTTGAATGTCTCTCTCACACTGAGTTTTTATGATTCTATAGTGTGTTTGAGAAGCGGTCATTGAGAAAATAATTTCTAGATGAGGTTGAATTCCAGATGCTTTCCATTTCTGGTAGCAGTTGCTCCTCTGCTAGTGCAATACACATCTCTAAAGAAATCTAACGACATGCAGAACATTCCTCTTAGCTTCAGTGACCAGTGTGTCTCTTACTGGGTGTTTTTAGTAGTGGCAACCCCAATCACAATGGGACTAACCTATTTTAATGAACAAAAGTGTTGTGGCTTGTAATTATGACTCATTGGCCCACACTCACCTCCTCCTTTTTACCATCCTTTACCAATATTCCAGGGGGAACCGTTCTGAGCTCCCAGGGAGATGACATTCTGCGTAAAGACTGCAAGTTCCTGCTGCTGGAGAAGGAGAACGCCCCAGCAAAGAAGGAGATGGAGCTCTTGATCATGACAAAGGACAGTGGCAAAGTCTTTAGTGCCTCTACCACTGGGCTTAATGGAGGTAACTTCTCTTTTTCAGGACATGTGGGTATGCTGAGGGCAGAGAAATGGAGACTGATTATAGGGGGAGTTCAGAGTTCAGGACCCCACACCTGACTCAAGCCCCTGTAAGCCAAACAAGCTCGGGCAGGCAGTTAGCCTTTAATCATGCCAGCTGCAATCTAGGTCTAGCTTTTGCATTCGAAGCTCCCGAGTGTGCCTTAGAACATTCCACAAAGCTCAGGAGCTTTGAAAGCAAAAACTAGATCTAGTTTAAACAGGCAGAGCTATTGTGGTTTCCCATAACAAAAAAAAAAAGCCTTTTGCCAATGAAAGAAGATAGTCCTGGTTGAACTTCTGGTGTAATATTTTTAATTATATTCTTTTCCTGTTGAGGATCCTTTGTAGAAGACACCTTGAAGAAAGAGAAGCAGGGATTTTCCTCCTCTTATGCTACAGATACTGGCCTAAAATCAGATGCAAATGGTAAGAGTTTGCCTCTGTGGCAATGCAATAGAATTTCTTCCTTCTGCCTTCATTACTACCTCCCTGTTGAAAGCCCATGCTCTAAGTTTGATTATGCATAGAAAGACTGTTAAAATCTCTTTTACTGCTGTTAAAACAGGAGGGCTGAAATCTGTGCCAACAAGGGATAAAGCAACTTATGCAGGTAAGTGTGATTCCAGCTTTAATTGGAGCGAGTACCAAAGCACAGTATAAAAAACCCACAATCATTCTTGAGTGACGTGAGTGATGTCTGTGCAATGACATCAGAGGGAAGGTGTGTTCAGGAGACTACTCAGTCTGTAATGAGCAGAGCACACACAAGAGAAATTGGTGCCAGTGATTTGATTGTGGATGAGTGGGCAGTTGGGGTATTTTTTAATTGCTGGAGAAGCTGACAGTACAGCTGCATCCTGCTACCAAGACAGACTTGTGGGGAGGAGAGGGCTCAGACAGACTATGCTGGCTATTGCTGTCATTTATGGGTCAAAACTGTACAAAAAAATTAGCTCAAGGGGATCATGGTTTTTAGCTGTTATTTTAAAAAGCACTGAGTGTTGTACCCTGTTGAATTCCCATTGGGAATGCTCTTCCCAGCTTCTGCAGGGACTAGAATTACAGAGTGGGGTGCAAAGATTTTTCTCCATAGCCCTTTGTATTTTTATACAAATGACCTTGGTGTCCTTATTCTTGAGAGATTCTGGACTCTGAAGTCAAGGAACTCTTCATTAACTAGGAGATTGCCCCTTCCCTCTTCCAGAAATACGAAATGGTGATGCAATGGGTGCAATTGGATCAGCACCATCCTGGTGTCCCTGTGGCTCCTGCTGTAGCTGGTGGAAATGGCTCCTGGGTTTGCTTCTGGCCTCGTTGCTTCTCCTTGGATTGCTTTTTGGACTCATCGCTCTGGGTAAGAAATAACTGAGGAGCAAAATGTTGAATGGGATAGAAAGACAAGCAGAGGGTGTAAGCTGGCAAAGAGGCCAAGTGCCAGAGATATCAAGCCAGAGACCTGAGGAGCAGCACATTCAGCTTGGTGGTGACTGCCACTAAGATACTGCAAATGGACAGGAAGAATGGATAAGGAATATAAACCTTTGATGAGGGATTATATGGTTTTGGGTTGAGTAGGATAGGAAAATTCCTAAGATCTGAGGTCTTATTTCTCAGTGACTAACAGATTCCAAAGTTGTCATTTAAACTCCAGATATCCCTGCTAGGAAAAACGATACAAAGAGTAATCCTGCAAAACTCAGTGGGTGTAGCTATCTGACACAGTGTTGCCTTGTCTCTGCTATTAGAAGTAGGTATTTCAGGCATGCATCTGTGGCAGCATGTTCCATAGCATTTTACTTTATCCTTCCAGCGGAAGAAGTGAGAAAGCTGAAATCTCGTGTGGAAAACCTGGAAAAAATGAATGGCGACTTCCTGGCAATTAACCATGGGAATTCGAAAATAGAGAAGGATGTTTCAAGAGTAGACTTTCTTCATGGTATTTCACCCTCCTCAACCTTCCCTTATGAAAATGAAGAGTCAGTTTGGTTGATGGTGAAGAGCAGACTGAACAAGGAAATAGAACGAGGTGAGCAGAGTCAATGTCTGTGATGCTGCATGAGACCGGATTATTTACAGGGGAGGGGGAGGATTTGCTTGCCCAAAGGCCTGAAGACACTCCTAGAGTGTGATGAAGTCTGTCAAAAATAGTGCCCTCACCTGTCCTCACAGATAGGCTGTGCTGGAGTTCAGAGTGCTGCCACACTGGTGGTGCATCCCTTAAAGTCAGCAGAAGAGGGAGAAGAAAAGAGGTTGTGGACATATCATCTGGTGCCAGGATGTCATGTTTGCTGTAGCAAGTGAATTTTCCATTTTTGAAGAACTACACAGAAAACTGAACCCACGCCTTATTTCTCGTGCTACTTCTGTTAGCAAGGGAAAGAAGATTAAGTTCTGTTTAGCAGATGATGGAAATAGGTTAAGACTAGGGGAGCCTATGTTCTCTCAGCTTCAGAAGTTTCATGGATTTGCGAAAGCAAATTTGCTGAGGAAACTCTGCTTACAAAGCCATGCTGTGCTTGATAGCCTATGCTGCCTGCAGCCTCAAAATCCAAATAGAAGGATCCTTGTATGTGCAGTGAGTAGCTATTCTGTTGTGTAATGCACTCTAACAGCCCCTTCTCTTCCTGTTACAGGCTACTTCCGAGGGGAGAGAGGAGAACCTGGTGAGAAAGGTACAGCCATATAGTCCCTCTCTTCCCCTGTCCTATTCCTTGGCTTTAGCAATGTGCAAGTTTGGGGTGGGTGTTGCCGCTAAGGGCAATTGGCAGCAAGAAGGATGAAGTGGGTTTATACATGAAGAAAAAGGGTGTAAAGCTAGTTTGCCATTTAAACTATAGAGGGCCTGATCCCATACAGAACTAATACAGGAGGCCCAATCTTGCACTGTGCCAGTGTGAAAGGCCACATCCTGTTTGCCACTAGTGGGATGGGTCTGATACTGCACTATTCAAATGTGAAGTGTCCCTGTGCACCCATAACTCCTTCATATTTCGCTGAAGGCAGGAAAGCAACTAGAAAAGCAAAATGAGTAATCATTGGAAATATCTCCAGGATCTCTCCTGATTTTATATTCTTTTTCTTCTTTTCTCAGGTGACATGGGAATGCAAGGTCCCAGAGGTGAGTCTGGAGTTAGCTGCTTTCTCAGGTAGATTGACAGCCTGCCATAGGGCCCGGGTAGCAAATGGATTTTTGTTACTCCGGAAGTTAGAGAAGCTGATGCATTCCATAGTTCAGAGAGTGTTGTGATGGCTGGGGTTTTTTTCTCTTCTTCCGGGAAAAGACAATTTTAGAGTTCACAGTAAAAGAGAAAACAGATCTCACTTTGAATCTAGGAACGTCTTTCACCTGGATGGAAGTCGCTCCTGAAGCCAAGCTGTACCTGGTTTATCACAGAGTGCTTCAGAGGATTTTGCGTGGTGTGAATGATTCAATCCATTGCATAAATACAAGGGGGCCAATGTGGCATTGCTGGAGACTGTGGAACTTGTAAACATGGCAGGAACATAAACTCCTTTTTATGGGGGGTGAGGGTTGGCCAAAGTGACAAACAGGGAAGACCTATTCCCCACTGACTGTCTATTTCTTTCTCCTTACAGGAGAGCGAGGACTTCCTGGTGTACCAGGTGGGCAGTAGTACAATTCCTCTTTGAGGGAGGACATTTAGTGACATTACTGTAGGAAAGAGCAAATTTTGCACTGCAAACCTAGCTCGAGATGATTCTCTAGAGACTCAATATTTAGCGTAGACTAAGTCACTTGATTAATACCTTGCTGCCGAGCTACAGACACAGGTCAGAGATCTGGTTACAAGCAAGGCCTCAGCCTGACTTCCACTTACTTGAACATGGCTAATTTGGGGGTGTGAAGATCCCAGCCTACCTTTGAAAGAGTCCCACAGCTGCATAAGTACTTGGCCCAACTTCCTTGTGCTCGTACATGCATTGTGTTCAGATAGATCTGTGTGTGAGTACCCACCTTCCAAGTAATATATTCTTTAGCCCCATTGATGAATCCCTCCAGGCTTCAGGTTCCCCTAATTTGCACATTATTCTTTCATGGTACACAGACAAGGACTCTGAATATTTGTTTTGTTTTTCTTTCCAGGCATTCCTGGTCCAATTGGGCACCAAGGGCCAGAAGGACCAAAAGGACAGAAAGGCAGCATGGGTAAGCATCTCTATTAATGCTATGAGTCTCTCACAACTGATTGGCACATGGCATGGGAATACAGACACCAGGTTGGTGTCATCGTTGCCTTCCCCCATGGAGGTGACCATAGATCCTCTTGCCCAAGGCCTCCCATAAAGACACCTTTTTTTTACAAGGCATTTGTTTCCTATAGGTGATCCTGGCATGGAAGGTCCCATGGGACAAAGAGGTCGAGAAGGGCTACCAGGGCCTCGAGGGGAGCCTGGACCACCTGGTTTTGGAGAAAAAGGAGACAGAGGTAGGAACTAGATGTCCCATTCTTGGCTAAAGCAGAGATGGGCAACAGCTAGAATTTGGTCCCAATTTATAGAACATCTCAATGGTAGAATTTTATTTGATTATTCAAATCCAGAATTAATTTTAGACATATCCCAGCACAGTCAAATCTGGCCTAAGGGATTTTTTTTTTGCCAAACTTAAAATGGGTAAGCAAGGGTTGTTTTGTTTTACCAGGTCTCACAGTCAGGTTTGAGTTTGGCAGAACCAAAAGCGCTTAGTATCAAGATCATCTTCTTCCCTGTTATCAAGTCACCAAAGCTGGGGGATTTTGTCTTGCTCATCATAAAGCCCAGTGAGATGGGATTTTTTTTCTTGGACAATACATGCTTATTTGGGTGTTTTGAACTGACCAGCATATTACTCATGACACTTGCCAGAGAAAGAATAACAGGAGATGGGATAATGGAAAAATGGGATCACAACTGAGTTCTACACTATCTGTTCATGTTCTTATTATGCAGGTGCTGTTGGTGAGCCAGGTCCTCCAGGGCCACCTGGTCCCCCAGGTTCTGCTGGCCTGAAAGGTAAATAAGAAGATGGACAGAGAGAGCCTAGTAGGCTGGTTAGGAGTAAATGAGCACTCTGGCCTTCTTGTTTCACTTGTGTTGCACTGCAGTAATCAGAAAAGTGAACTAATGGCCCTCATTTTAGATAAAATTTGCTTTGGTAGCGACACATAACCTTTAGAGCAATAAATTCTTGGAGATTTTCAGTGAGAGTGGGAATTGGCAGGGAGGTTTCTTAAAACACCGATCTTTAAGATGTGCAATGTTTCTAGCTGTTTTTTCTCTGCTTTCAGAAGTAAAAAGGTAAAGTTCATATCTCTAACAGGCTTCTTAGCAGAGTTACAGCCCTACAATCCATGTAACTGGGATAAAAATTGCACTATAAAAAATGGGTCCCACCTGAAGCACAGATCCCAGCATCTCATCCAAGGTGGAAGGCTTGAGACTCTTTACCTTACTTTAGGGAAAAACACTTCCTCTATGTCACAAGAACTAAGTTCTGTAGATTTGTTGTGCTGGTTTTGAGGATGCCAGTGATGCAAATTCTTACAGTGGCTGGAGGAATTCCAATCTGCTAAACACCTATTGGGTTGTGGATGCGGTTGGGCATACCAAAAGAGATTTTTTCATTTTCTAATTGTGGTGTTACTGAAAGAAAATCCACGTTCCTTATTCACAGGTCTGATGGGTTCTCCAGGCCCACAAGGTCTTCCAGGTGAGTGCTGCATTCCTCTGCTATAGCATCTAGAGATTAGAGAAAATAAAAACAGAGTGACAGAAGTTTTTCTTCAGTGATGCATAATGGTGAGTGGGATGGATTAAACCCCCACCTCATTTTTCTGCAGGTCCTCCTGGCTTACAAGGATTTAGAGGAGAAGCAGGTCTCCCAGGTGCTAAAGGTAAGCTTTCTCTTCCCCTTGGCAATTACAGCAGCACTAGCTGATGTGCTTTTCTAGCACTGCTCTGAGTAGAATTTTGATGCTAGGGGCAGAGAAAAGCATAAGACTGAGGAAAGGAAGGGGAGGAGGAACTATACTTAGTGATTGCAAGCAAATATCGAGAAATTCAAGAAAGAGGTAATAGAGCAGTCTAGGTGAGGAAACATGGTTGGATGGATGGATGGAGCTGTATCAAAGGAAAGTCTGAGTTTGTCCAATATCAGAGTACCTGTATTTCCCCTGTGACTTATCTTGATGTATGAAATTCCTTTCCCTTCTGACTTGTTTTTACTATTGTTCAATCATCCATATATCTTTCAGGTGAGAAAGGAGCCATTGGAGCCCCTGGACCCAAAGGTATGTTGATCAATTAAATATCTTTTTTTGCTGTTTTCTTTAGATTCCTTTAGATATGGATACTGTCCATGGGTATTAACCCTATCCTTCTTTGGCTTTTTATTCTGTGCTCTTGTCAGAAAGCAGACTTTATTTTCTGTGGTGGAAACATTTTACAACAGAACAATCTCACAGAATCCTTCCCTTTTTTGTACCACAGGTGATCAGGGTGAGAAAGGTTCTCGTGGAATGACAGGTCAGTGGATTTTTTTCCTGGAGTAACAGCCTATCTGATATACACATGCATTGAGTTTTCGAATAACAGTATAGCTCAGCCAATCCCAGCTGGCTTTCCGAAAAAGTACAATGATATTATTGGTTATAGTAGTTTTATTTTTGCACCTAAGTTTTAAACAAATAGATCCCATTCTTGATTCCAGTAATCTTGGTAGCAATCTTTGTGTTTAGCTTCAGGGAAGTTCTCCCTCATGTGCCCTGTATTCACTTCATTCCAGCTTTTCTAATGCCCAGACACAGTCACAAATCATGAGGCCTGATCATCCTGTCAATCAGAGAATCACAGAATGGTGGGGGTTGGAAGGGACCTCGGGAGATCATCTAGTCCAACCCTCCTGCTAAAGCAGGTTCACCCAGAGCACAGGACATCATCCAGGCGGGCTTTGAATATCTCCAGAGAAAGAGACTCCACAGCCCCCCTGGGCAGCCTGTTCCAGTGCTCTGTCACCCTCAAAGTAAAGAAGTTCTTCCTCATATTCAACTGAAACCTCTTATGCTTCAGTTTGTGCCCATTGCCCCTTGTCCTGTCGCTGGGAGCCACTGAGAAGAGTCCGTCTCCGTCCTCATGACATCCACCCTTAAGACTTCTGACTTGTTAATGGTGATTATATCCTTAGGTGAACCAGGTTTTACGGGAATGCCAGGAGCCCAAGGCCCTCCCGGACCCCCCGGAGATGCAGGACAGCCAGGTAAAAGCATGCAGAGACCACAAATATTTTTTGCTCAGTCAGGAACACAGATGTGTTTGTCAACAATTTCCAGTCTTAATTTGAAGTTAAGGCTGGCAGAGGATCTCTGTACTATAAGATGGTGATGAAAGGAAAACACACAGGGAATCTAGACCCACTGTGATCTCAGCATTGCACACACTGCAAACAAGAACATGAGCTGCTATGAGCTAACATTCAGTTTACATACTAGATGCTAGACCAACTTACACCACTTGTGGGCTGTGTGCTGTAATTTTAAGTAAATGTAATCTTTTTCTCTCTGTCTACCCTTTCCCCACCTGAAATTTGTTTAGACATCTTAGAATTTTTGCCTTTTTCTTCCAGGTCTCACAGGACCCCAAGGACCACCAGGCAGGTTTTTTCACTGTGTTCCAATTTATCAATGACACACTTTGTTATGGGCTCAAAAACCCCTTGTAATTTTCCTACTGTGCTGCTTGGGGCTTCCAAAGTGATATCCGAAGGCTTCTGCATCTCCCTTGGCTTTTGAGACAGGTTTTGAGGTTGGTGTGTAATTTTTGAGGAATGCAGGGCCTTGGAGTGTTTGAAAATTTGCCTCTCCCCAAAACACAGTTTGCAACAAATAACATGTTTCAGTTCCCTGTGCGTCACTGAAAAGTCCTTCTAATCAGCAGCAGCAACAGAGAGGAGAGGATGTAGCAATAGAGGTGGAAACAGAGGATGTGATGTCTGGGAGCAGAGGTGGTTTGGAGGGCAAGTCACCAGGGAATTTATCCAGTAGCCTCAGGGCAGGGAGCAGTACCTGGAAGAAGCTACAGGTAAATCTAGGGAGCAGTGAGAGAAGGGAAGCTCTTAACTATGCCCAGGGACACTACCAGCTCAGTTGACTGTCCACTGTGAATTCCTCCGTTTGTTGTCAGGGACCTGCTTGTAAATGCTGAAAGCCAGGGTCTTGAGTAGGGAGTTCCTTCTATAAACCCACAAGTGAAACTCAACTGGGGGACCTGAAAAAATAGAACAAAAAATATTTGCATTAACTATTCTTCTTCTACCTCATATCAGGACTTCAAGGCAACCCAGGCCGACCAGGGCCTAAAGGTGAGTTTTGTTTCTTTCCTAATACTCTTTTGCTCTCTAAGCACTTCATTTTAGGGAGGATTAGCTGCTCTACTGACCAGTCCCTGAATCAACAGTGGCATCTAGTGGCTTTAGGAAGAGAAGGTTTGAGAAACAGACAATAGCCAAAGCCTCCTTGAGCATACACCAAAGACAGGGCATCTGCTGAGGCACTTGGCATGACAGTTCTCCACCGAGAAAACCTTAGCAAACCAGGTTCTGCCCTGAGCATATGAGTATGATGCCTGATGACTGCAATGGAAGCTGTGTGCCTGCCTCAGATAAATCAAGGCCTATCAACCGTTCTGCAAGATGTAGTGCTTGGAAAGCCAATCAAAGGATATCTCTGGATTAGCTGAACTCTGTTGCTTCCTCCATGACCTTCTAGTGCCATGAGTTCTCAGACAAGAGATCAAGGTCAAAAAGAACAGAAATTGTTTGTTTAATAAGACAATGTCATTGAGCTAGTGACAAATCTTTCCCAGAAAAGAAGTTAATCTTTTGGCTCTCTCTTTTCATAGGAGAACCTGGAGCTCCAGGAAAAGTCATAAGTGCTGGTACGTAGTGCTGTGAAAGTTCAAATATTTCTGCTTTTGGAGGATCTTCTCTGTTTTTTGTTATGCCTCCTGTATTCATCTCGACTGTCTATTAGACCTGTACTGGGACTCCCTCTGTTGGGAGAATACATATGCTGTAGATGTGTGATTCCTTAAGGATAGATTTGTTACACAATCACTGGATGTGTGTATATATATGGATGTGTGCAAGTGTATGCATTTGTGTTTCAGAGGGTTCGTCCACTATTGCCCTGCCAGGCCCACCAGGTCCCCCAGGCCCAGCTGGCCCCACTGGACCCCCAGGCGTTCCAGGTGAGGAAGCTGCTCCTCTGCTGTGATTTTTGCAGGCAGCTTGCATTGCTGTGCATCCAGTTCTTAATTTAATGTGTGATGTTTATTGTCTCTGCCAGGCTGCTCTGTCTGGGAGGCAAGATTGCTCAGGCAGTCTAGATACTCTTGGTCCTCACCCTTCCCTGCAGAAAGACCAGGATCCCAGTCAGAGTTAGAGAGGCAGCAGCCTCAAGGGAGAAACAGGATACGATCCCAGGGGGGCAGGACAGAAGGGAGGACTGAGAAGATGGGAACACTGTTGTTGTCCTTTGATCTGATGAGTACAAAGTAGTGATAGGTCAAATCCAACGAGTAGAATCAAGTTCTTTTGCCTCTCAGGTAAGCAGGCATGTGTCTAATCCCTCTCCCGGCACTGTTGCTGAAATCAGGAAGTGTTTGTTTTCCAGTCTTAGCTTGGAATGCCAGACAGCAGAAATCCCAAATGAGCATCTACAAATCTTTCACACAAACACACACACAGAGACACACAGACAGACTCTGGCTATGCATGAGCTTGGTCTTCAGACTCCCCTGTCCCAGGTCAGATACTGCCCTCCAGCACGCTGGTGTCAGGCAGCAGAGTTCCTGAGCCCTGGTTCTCATGGCGCTTCTGCATCTCTCCCAGCTGTATAGCTGGAGCTAGTCCTGGAGCTGTTTTGGTAGAGCTAGCCTCGATTTGCAGCAGGGAATGCAAGAGGAGGCTTAGACCTATTGCTTTTCTGTTGTGGTCAGTGACATTCTAGTTATTTCCCCAGTCTAAGAGGCACCAAGCACTTTAATTGCTACATGATGGAAAATAAGCCTCTTCTCTGGAGCTTCAAGTAATACATGGGACATTGATGAATTCGTACCCCGCAGCAATTCCATTTATTTGTGCAGGCAAATACATTATTTGATAAGTCTCAGTCCTTATAAAAGACATATTGATTCTTTCCTGCTACTGTAAAATACAACCAGGAAAATCTAATGCAATCTGTTTTTTTTTCCTTTGAAACCAGGTCCGGTTGGACCAGCTGGTCTCCCTGGACAGCAAGGTACCATTCTCCATCAGCTTTGATTCTGCTTCTTAAGAGAACTGAATTCATTAGTTTTTCCTTTGTTTCTAATTCTCTCAGCCCTTGGCACAATCTCTCTCCCCTTTGTTTGCAGATTTCTTTCTTTCAGTTCATTTTGCTGCGTTATTTGGCTTAATTAATCTTGTAAAGAATTTCTATTCTTTTTATTTTCCCAGGGGAAGAAGGGAGGTGGTAAGAGCCAGTGTGATGTGGATACTGCAAATGTCTTTTTTTCTTTACATTATTTTTTCTGGAGGCTGGTATTTCTAAAGCACTTCTCAAGTGCAGTTGCCTTTCTGTGGTAGGGGATATAGCCCAGCTGTATACCTCCTGCCATTTTGAAAGGTGGGAAAACAAACTAGAGCCAAGTTGGGAATAATGTCACTGTGAAACCACTGCCAGTTGGATAGACATCTGTTTGGAAGGGCCTGAACAGAAGTGACTCCTAAGAACCTTTCTTACCCAGTTTTCTATGGTTCTGTTTGGGCGAATTGTGTAGTAATTTCCATATTTGACTACAGTGTCCTTCAGAGCCAGGGACTGAGGTCATGCTCCAAGTTCACATAAGCAAAGTCTGAATCTGTTTTCGAGGAGGTGAGGAACGGGTAAAAAATGTCACCCTCTCTCACTTAAATAATTAATTCTCTTTTTTTTTCCTAAAAAAGGTCCACGGGGTGAGAAGGGATCCCCAGGTGAAACAGTGATAGAAACAATCAAAACAGAAGTCTCATCATTAGCATCTCAAAGTAAGTGGGCCTGCCTTTCCACTCCTTTGCTTGGAGAGGTGCCAGAGGCCTCAAGGCCTGCTCACAGCTAACAGGAGATGCCTCTACCTCTTTCCTCTCAACATGGCATAGGGCAAGTGTGTGTGTGTGTGTGTGTGTGTGTGTGTGTGTGTGTGTGTGTGTGTGTGTATGTTTGGTGGTGGGGCAGCAATACCAGCTACTTCTTCTGCCCTCCTTCTCATCTATGCATCCCAAAGTGCTTTCAAAAGGAGGTAGATGGCACTAGGCCCATGTCACAGAGAGGAAGGCTTTCTGGAATGGTGACTGGTGAACAGTCCCCAGCAGCAGAGATGGTCACAGAGCTGTGAGGTTTCAGCCTCACCTTTTAGCCACTATGGTCACACAGGGCAGTTCCCTATGTAATATGAACACAGAGCCATCCGTAAGAGGAGAACCAGTTTGAAAAGGCACATTAATCTAAGCAACAGAAATCAAAATGTCTCTGTGAATTAGAGGACAAATTCACAAGGGAGCAAATGCTATTTTAAGATGAAAATAAGTGGAGCAGAACAGAATGGTTTAGCAGCAGCCTGAGAAAAGTGTCTGCTTACTCTCTGCAATGCTAGATGTGTGGTGCACTTACAGTCAGTATTCCTAGGACCTGGGACTTCTGCTAGTGTGCAGGAGAGGCAAGGCAGAGGAGGGCATAAAATCATAAATGGTCCTTGCCTGATCACCATCTGAATGGGGTCATGCAGATCCAGACCGTGCTTCAGTACTGCCCCATCACTGAACTTTATGTTTGTGTCTCAGCTTGGAGGTGAGGCCAATAAAGTAACACAGTGCAGCTACTTGTTAATAATGGCTGCGTAATGTTCTCCTCCCAAAAGTAGCCCCTTGCTGAAAGAATCTTTCCACTCCTTGAAAGTCCTTTCCCTCCTTCTCTAGCCTTTGAGACCTTTGCTCTTTAACCATTACTCTCCAGAGAGATCGCCTCCCTGTTTCCAATATGCTGCCAGCCTGCTCAGCACTGTATTTTGCTTCATGTCCTAACCTGTGTGCTGGCAACCAAACACATCTCTCTTCTCCCCTTTCTGCCTCAACTTTGGCTTGGGTCATGTAGGTCCTGCCTCAGTATGCCTTTGACTGTAAGAGCTTCTAACAGCAACTTAACAACAGTGTTTCCATAGCAGCAGTAGCTCCATAGCAACAATTTTCCCCTTTTTTGTGTGTTTCATTTGTACAGTGCTGGCAGATTTACAAGGGCGAGCAGGACCACCAGGTCCCCCCGGACCACCAGGTACGTAATACAGCAGAGCTCAGTACGTAAGCAGGGGAACACTAACACACGTGGCGTATTTCTGAGCTGTGCAGTCTGCTGAGTAAATGTTCTATAATACCTCTGTTTCTTTCTTCATCAGGTGAATCTGTGCAGGGACCCCCTGGACCTCGTGGCCCCCCAGGTAAAAGCTTGTTTCTCTGAAACAAACCTGGAAAGTGGGAGGTTTTTCCGGTGCCTCTGTCCTGTGCCTTGCGGTGTCCCAGATGTAATCTTGGACCTGGTGGAAGTTAGTAGGGCTGACATTACTGGAAGCAAAATTTCACATAGTGGGTTCCTACTAACACAATTTCACTGCAATGTAGTTTCACAGCAGCAAGATGCTGCCCAAGAGAGGAGATTTGCTTTGGCAGAGGTTTGCTAGCCAGAGCAGTAATTCATAAAAGCCATACTTTTTGGGAAGACACTCAAAATTCTCAAGTTCCCAAAGGAAGTAACTGCAATCAATTCCATCTTTACTTCTTACTTGTCCAGCCTTAACTTCCAGCTGGGGATGGATGGAGCAGTTTTTGTCATGAGGAACATATCCCCGTCCACTTCCTGTAGCACAGGATTTCCCTTTCACAGCCAGAAGAGGGGAGGTGCAGGAGGACACAAGACAGGAACATAACCCCTGTTCCTTGCTCTCTGCTCAGTAGCAAAGGGAGAGCAGGTCAGGTGTGTGATGAAATGAACCTTCCCTCTTGATGTTGTGAAGGCCAGCTGGGATAGGCACTCTGTACAATGAAGAAAGGAGTTTCTCTGTCCTACATCTGCTGTGGTGGCAAATGATAATGAAAAATAACTAACAGGGATAGATATGTGTGGAGAAAACAATGATACTAGCCTACACTTGGAAATATTTGAGCTATGGCCATGATGGAGATGTAGCAGCTCTGACATGCATTGCTGAGGCTCATCCTTCCTGAAGGCTCTTTGTGTCTGTTTTGCCTAGGAGAAGGATTGCCAGGACCTCCAGGCCCACCAGGGAGACCAGGATCTTCCATGTCCACCTCAGGTAGGTTCTTCCCACTCATTCCCTTGCCTGTGCCTTGGGAATGTCCTGACTCTTGGGGTACCAGAGAGCACATCCTTGGCTAGGACCAGGTGGAGCCAGAGAAAACTTGTGCCGTGTTCTGTTGGATGTCATGAAGAAACCTTTTTGTTTTAATTGCAGAAACATTCTTCACAGGCCCACCAGGTCCCCCTTCCAACCCTAAACATTCTATGATTCTATGATTCTATGTGGAGCCAGAGAAAACTTGTGCCGTGTTCTGTTGGATGTCATGAAGAAACCTTTTTGTTTTAATTGCAGAAACATTCTTCACAGGCCCACCAGGTCCACCAGGCCCACCAGGCCCACCAGGCCCAAAGGGAGACCAAGGTGGGTATATCCTGCTGCCTCAGCAAGATGCTAGGTGGATCTCAGCACCTCAGACTGAAAAGAAGGAAGGAAGGGGCTTGGAAGCAGAAAGTGTCCTGCACAGTGTTCTGTGGCTGTAAGAAAGCTAGCACAGTGGTCACTAAATAGGACTCCTGTCTGCTGCCATAAAACAAGTCAGTCTTTGTCGGAGAAATTTATTAGGCTCCAATACTGGTGTCAAGGCAATTGTTGTATTCAGATACCAACTTTTCAAGCCCATTAGATTGAGGAGCATTCAGAGCTTCAGATTTTCCATTAAAGGGGAACAAAGTTTTTGCAAAATGCAGTGTGGACTGGGCTAAGTCAGTGCAAGGAGGTGGCCTTGTGAAGTGTAGCTCGGCTCTCAGCTGGCAGGAAAAAATGGGACCTACTCCCTTTACCCATTTCTGCCCTGTAAATTGAAGGCCGTGATAATATTTTGCAGTGTGGGCTGGGATGTTGCAGATCAGAACAAAGAAAATACTGACACTGTTCCCCTGCTCTCCTGTTCACAGGCGAGCGAGGTCTGCGAGGATTCACGGGTAAGGAGGCTTCCAGGAGATATCAGTGGGGTGCAGTGTAACTTGCCTGTGTGTGTGACTTCTCCTCCATTTCTGTGTCCCGTGCAGGAGAACCAGGAGAGCCTGGCCTTTCAGCATTCTCCTCCCACGGTCAGTCTGTGCCCCCTTTCCTCCTTTGAATTCATTGTCCCTAAGCTGAAACCAGGGGGCAAAATCCTGCTTTATTGATTCTAGCTGAGTTTTAGTGGAGCCAGGATTTTGTCCACACACTTTACTCCTGTGCATCTCTAACTCTTTTTCTGCAATTCGCAGGTGACAGAGTCACCATGCAGGGACCTCCAGGAGTTCCAGGCCCGCCAGGCCCACCTGGACCCAAAGGTGAAGTAAAAAGTCTTCTTTCTTTGCTGATGGCCTCACACAGCCAAGAGTGGTTGAGACTAAAGGATGGAACAACCTGGTCCTTTGAGAACTGCAGCTGTGCCCAACCCTGCCTTTTCAGGCAGAGCAGGACCATGGCGATAGAATTGCTCTGAACACAAGGCACCTGGGCACATCACAGAAAGCTGCTGTGGCCTCTTCCTTCTGCTCTTCCCCTACAAGCTGTTAATTCAAGATAGTCATTGCAAGGGCTGGGCAGTTGCTTCTCTGACAACATGTAGCTCAACTGTTTTACACGACCAAGTATGCAACACGCAGTGCCACCCATTACAATTGTCTGTCTCCCTCACTCTGGTTTCTAGGTGATGCAGGTGTCCCAGGCGCTCCTGGCATCCCAGGAGCATCTCGAGGTAAGAGGCCAGACTGTCATTGCTCTGATACTACCAAGAAATGCTGTCATCCTGGGGGAGAATTTGAAAAAGCTCCTTTGGGTTTTACAAGTGTGGCTGCCAATCTAATGCTGATGGGATTTGTATTCAAAACCTTTTTTCACAGCATGCCTTAAATCAGACAATTTAGGAATTGCCAGTTTTCCGTTTCCAGCTTACTGGGAATTCTTTGAGCCAGAGTTTGTCCTCATTGGGACATGAAAGAAAGGGATTCCAGGTTGGCTAACCATGTTCCACAAGGGATTAGGGAAGCTGCATTGAACCTTCTTGTGGAAACACTTCTGATCAGAACAAAAGTGCCCTTTATTCAGTTTTACAGGTGGATTCATGTGAATTAAGCTGCTTTTGTTCGGAATAAGAGCATCTCTGTATGCAGGATATTAATGCAGTTTCACAAAAAGTGCATATGGATTAACTTAAGTGTCTCTCCATGTGAACAAGCCCTGTGCTTCTCCACATCGTGTCTTAGGAATACTACCTCAGGGTGCTGGGAAGACAGACACCTTAAAGAGCATGAGGTGTCACTTGACACCATGGTGACAGGAGTCACACAGGGCCCACCTGTATCTTGCAATGGAGACCAGTGAGGAGGTACTTGAGCTGTTGCTGCCCAGGCTGGCTGGGACTGGGAGCAGCAGGGCAGTGAGGTTAAGCTACTGAGCTTGAATGCTTTATGGATCTCTGTCCGTATTTCTGCACAGCACTGCACTCTGGTGCACAAACTGACCAGGTCTGTCAGTATGAAGCCAGGGAGGTTTCTGGACTCAGCCCTGTAGAGCTGTGCAGGCTGAATTCTAAGATGCCAAATTAATTGAAGACGTTACACTGCCTAATTTCCCATACTCAGACTGTGTTTAGAAATGAAGGGGGAGCCCCTCCACAGTCCCTTCTCAAAGCTCTGTTCAGACCTGTGGGAAGGGCTCAGTGCAAGCACACTTGGTCTAATGCAACAGACCAAACCCATTCCTTCTCCTTACAATGCTTTCTGTAGGTGGATCCAGACAAATTCAGGGACCCCCAGGACCTCCTGGGCCACCTGGTCCTCCTGGCCCAGGTGGAAGTTCATCTCAGGAGATTCAGCAGTATGTCACTGACTACCTGAAAAGTGAGTATAATGAGATTTTGTCGTGGGTCAGCAGATGCATGCCTTTCTCTCTTTTGCTCCCTGAGCCCTTTGTCACTCTCCCTTTAGAAGTAGCAGCCCTACTGCTCTGGCCTTATTTTTGTTGAATACTGTCAAGTGCTGTTGCACACTGTGGCATCTGCAGAACTGTCCTTCTATCAGCCTGCTTTTTGTCAGGGGAAGAGGGTCCAGTAATTGTGCATATGACCATTGTCTTCCCTCTAGTGATGTGGGCATATCTTGGGCTTCCTACCTAGGTGACAACGTAAGGCATTATTTGACTGGTGCCCAAGGCCCACCAGGCCCTCCAGGCCCACCTGGAGTCATCACCACTGCGGATGGGACGAACTTGGATTATGGGGAGCTGGCTACCCGTGTTATGAGCTATATGACAAGTAAGGACCATGTTGGTAAGCTCTGTACTGAGTCACGCTCTTGGCTGAGCTTGTGCAACACCTAGGAGGGGAGAACCAGAGGAGAAACAACAGTCTTTAAATAGCAGCACCCCAACCCTGTTATTCATCTTCTGCAATCTTGGCCCAGGACTCCACACAGCTGAGGTGGCCTCTGAGCTTTGTCCCATTTTGATGGTTAGATTAGCTAACAGTTGCTGCTTTTAAAAAAGTCTCACATTAAACATAGCTGTAATGTCCTCAAGACCCAAACAGAGGTGGCTGTATTTGATGTATGTGGTCTCAGGTATTCTGGGGCCATCTTGTATGCTTGGGGCCCTCCTGAAGTAGATGAAATTCCCAGAACTTTTGGAAACGGCCTGGAATTTCGGTCAGAAGAGCACAGACCACACTGCTGTGGAGACAAGGAGGCTGTGTCAGACAGTAACTGACTCGTGACTGGTAGCATGGGAAGCCCATCCCACCATTTAAACCGGATTAATTCAGCTTTCCTTTGTCCCTGCCTGACCCTTCTTCACCTTCTGTCTCCTCTTAACCCTGCCTGACATAAAACTTTTCCATTCCCACAGGCTCTTCAGATCGCTATCAGTCATTTGCCAGTTCCGTATCAAGTACATCCATTTTGTACCAAGAACTTCTGGACATGCTGCAGAGTAAGTGACCCTGAAGGGAAACGTGGGGGATGGGGGTAAAGCGTCCCAGCAACCTAGTGATCTGCCTTTCCCTTCCAGTCTTCTGTCTCTAACCGGAGTTACCAGCAGCTGCTTCAGAGGGCAAAGACCTGCCATAGGTGCTGCTGAGTGACCTGCAAAGTCTCCTTCCAAACCCTTTGGAGACAAATTTCATGTGTCTTGTACTGGAGAGTTCGCTTGCTTTCCAGAAACTATACTTTCTTACCTGTTTGCTTTTCATACCCACTCTGGTAATGCTGCAGCTTCCCACTCTCTTGGCTCCCTTTCCATCCTTGGTTCTCTAGGTGGCATCTGCCTATGTCCTTGCTTTTCAGGAATTTCCCACAATTTTCCCCAATCTCCCACTAAACCTTGGGCTTTTACTTTCCAGCTCCTCTACTCTGTTAGGGCTCCCCACTCCTTCTTGCCCATTCCAAAGCCTTGCTATATCTTTGTTCTTAAGGTGAGAAGGATACCCAGCTCTGTATTCTTTTTGACACACACTGTTACTGTGGGCCGATAGATAAATGGCCAGGATGTCATTTTGCTATGCCTGAAGGTATTGATGATGCTGGCCAACACTGCGCCCCTCCTATGTGATCCAGTGGGGAATCAGTCAGATTGCATGTTCCAAACAGACAAATGGCTGCTGAAATGCCACAGAGCTCAGCATGGTCCTTTCCCTTTACCCAGGATGTTGTCCAGGGTGTCCTGAAGAAACAGAGCACAAGAAGGTCCCTTTGGCAATCCAAATTCTCATCCTCCTCAAACCCTAGGTTGTAGGTTGTTCCCAGCCCCGCCAAAATGTTGGTGACACCATACGCGGGGCAGATCACACTCAGAAAAGGAGGCGAGGAAGGAGAGTAGCTTTGCATCCATAGGTTTTGATGGTCGCTGTAGTGGTGGGGGCTCAGCTCACAGGCTGGGAACCCCTCATACCTGGCATCTTTGCAGCACCTGGACAGTCTTTAAAGATGCATTTTTCATTTCCAGGAGAAGAAATTCGTCAGTATCTAATTGGACCTCGGGGCCCACCAGGACCTCCTGGACCAGGGGGAGATGGCATGTCTCTGTCACTGGATTATGATGAGCTGACCAGACGGTTTATCAGCTACTTGACAAGTAACGGTCTTTATTAGTATGGATTTCCCTCTGTTCCTTTGGGAGCTGCGCAGAAAGCTGTCAGTGAAAACTCTTCCAGTGTCAACTGTGTGAATCCCTATGTACAGAGACCTCCTCACAGGGACTTGGAAGAGAACAAAGATACTCTGTAGCCAAGACACTATCCACAAACTCTGCTAAAAACTGAGCTTAGGAACATTATTTCACCTCAGCCATCTTAGAATTCCCATCAACACCTTCAAGTGCCTTTATAACCCTTTTCTCCCTGGCTCTCTGGCCAGGATATCTCTCTCTGTGGAAGAGTTGGTCTATGCCCACTTTGTGTTACAGCAGTCCAGGCAACAATCTCATAGATGTTTAGAGTTATTTGAAACAAATTCTACCTCTGCTTAATTTTCCCATCTGTAAAGGGGTGATAATGGCATGTAAGAACGGCTGGACAGCGACTACTCTGGAGCACCCCCAAGAGCAGTTCTAAAATGCCTAATCCTGGTAGCTGCAACTATCTGCTTAAAAGCAAGGCCTGGTCTGTAATTACTCTCTTTGACTGGGAATTTGCTCTTTGGCTCTGGCACCCCAACAGCTCGAGCAGGACAGCTGCATTTTATCAGCAAGGGCATTTAATTGAAGCAAATTACAAAGTTTTGCACCAGAGCTGCTTACAAATAGGCAGACACAGGGAGAGCAGCACATGCATCAGCCAGTGGGTCACAGCTAAGCTACAGGTCCTGGGGTGCCCCCCCCCAGCTCCCGTGTCAGGGGTCCATCAGATGTGCAGAACTTTTGTCAAGAACAGAGGCCTGATGCCTATCTGTCTGCAGGTGCCCTTGTATTGGGATTAATGGGACAAGTTTTAATGCCAGGCCAGATCAAGGCCTAAGCCCTGCTTCCCAGCACAATCTGCTGATGGGAACACTCCACCCTGCAGGAGCCCCTCCTGCATTCCTTGTGAACAAGCCCTGCAGCTTGTCTGCTCACACTATTCCAGCCTGTTTTGATAATGTGCTACTCTTGGTTCTGTCTGATTTTGCAGGTTCTGGGATGAGCATTGGGCTCCCTGGACCACCTGGGCCTCCAGGGACCCCTGGTATATCTTACAGTGACCTGACAGCATACCTGCGAAGTAAGCCAGCTTCTTTACTCCCCTGCCATAGGTCCCTGCACACCCCCAGGATCTTTTTTTACAGGCTTAGTTGCAGAATTTCCCTTTTTACTCACCACCACAAATAACCCTGTGTGAGAGTCTAATGGTCCCTCTGCCTTAGTCAGCAGTACTGCAGGCCTCCTGGGCTCTGCCAGGACCTGCACAGACTGCGAGGGGTTGCAGACAGACCAGCACCATGCTTCTGTGGAGAGCAGGAGTAGCGAGGTCGTGTCTCGGGGATGGCGATAGAGGAGCCCTTTGTCTTCTCCAAACTCTGCAGCATAAAGGAATTTCTTATGCCACTTTTTAAAAGTATATTTAAAAAATAGGGATTTTGACCCTCTTCAGGATCTCCTGACTTTCCAGTGTGACATCTATACACAGGGAAGTGAGGTGCACCAGAAGGTGCTGGGGAGAAAAAAGTGCCTTATACGTGGCTGTAGTTGGCATTACCTGTAGTGTCAGGGAAGGTTCATCAGGGTTGCAGTGGTTTGGGTGACTCTTTTTTTTCCCTTCTGTCTTACAGACTCTGAATTCAGTGGTCTTGTTGGGCCCCCTGGTCCTGCAGGGCCCCCAGGACCTCCAGGGATCCCCGGATCACCTGGCACCTCTCTGGAGGACATCTCTGCTTATCTACAAAGTAAAGCACTTGTGTTTCTCACAGCTGGCAGGGACATTCTGTTTGTAGGTGCTGGGGGGACTGAGACTGAGATTTAGCTTACCAGGGGCTGTGACTGCCCACTGAGAACAAGGTCGCTTAAAAAAAAAATCATCTCATCAACATCAGCTGGAAAGGGATGGAAGTCTAGGTTGGAGCCTTCAAACTTTCAAGATCCCCAGACATGTGATTTCCTTGTCCTATCACTGTCAGAAAATAATTCTTCCTCTCTCTCAAGGTGTGGGATACTCCTCCTTCTCTGGAGTCCAGGGCCCACCTGGCCCTCCTGGCCCTCCAGGACCACCAGGCTTCTCAGGAACTGGCCTCTTGTCCTATGCTGACATCACTCACAGTGACGAGTTCAGAAGCGAGCTGATCCAGTACCTGAAGAGTAAGGGGACACCATCCATCCTCCCTGCACACACCCCGAGCCATGCTTTGCCTTGTGTAGACTGCAGCCTTTGCCACAGCTGAGGCAGTCTTGTAGGAACCTTCCCTGCATTGAAGCTGCAGCAACACCTTATCTCTGCAGCGAGGTCTACGCAGGACTACACAGCACCCCATAGGGTGTCTCCTCTCAGTCCGACTGCAAGGCAAAAGTCTGTGTTGTGAGCCAAAAGGGACAGGTGCTGGGCGGTTAGAATTGGCCTGTCCTGAACAGCGAGTCCCTAGTAAGGTCACCTGCAGGGTTTTGTCATGGGAAAAGCGTTTTCTTTCACAAACACCTGCCTGCAGAGCAATGGATGGTGTAGGGGTTGGAGGGCAGCACTTGAGCCAGCTGTGAAGCAGCATTGGTCTGAGCTCTCATGCTGGCAAGTCATCTGGGGCAGCCTTTCAAAAACATGGGGATCCCCTCACTTGTGGGAGACTGGTCACAGAACAGCCGTTTTGGCAGAGGTGCTGAAATTGGCCTGAAGAGGAGTGTGCCCATCTGCAAAGTCATTGGAAATGTTTCCAAGATTAGGCCCCCAGAATTGTGGGAGAGATGGGAAGGAGGGGGGGGTCATGCCCTCTGTAGAGATCAAGGTTGACATACGTGCTTGCTGCCTGAGAAATGGCACTGAGTGAGGGTTACTGCGATGATCGGTGGGGCAGAATTTCACACTCCAGTCTTCATTCAGGTGGTACCGCTCTTGTATTTTGCAGGTGATGAAGTTCGAAGCTACATCTCGGGGCCGCCTGGGCCCCCTGGGCCACGGGGACCACCAGGACCCAAAGGAGATAGTGGCTTGGTGGCTGGGTCTATGTCTTCATCATACCAAGGGTTACGGACTTCTGAGCGGTTGCATGGAGGATCCCTCGGTGCTGAGGGCTCCCATGGGGGATCGCTGGGCACAGGCAGCTCATATGGCAGCTCCATGAGCAGCATGTCATCCTACAGTGCCTCAGTGGGCAGCGATGGCTCTTACGATGCCCCCATAGGCAGTGATGGGTCTTTTGATGCCTTGCTGACAGAGGAGGAATCACACAGATCAGCAGCTTCAGGCAGAACCTACAGCAACTCCTTCTCTGGTTCCCTGGATTACAACGAGCTGGCACTCCGTGTGTCAGAGAACCTACAGAGTGAGTGGAACGCCTGCTTGACCTGACCCTCCCTGTCCTGGCCCACAACCCCCTGTGCCTGGTGGCACGCTGTTCACTTCCCTCCCCCTTCCTGCTGCCTACAGCTCTCCCTTTCACCTTCCTGCCTCAGCATCCAGCCACAGTTTTCCCAGAGCTCCTTTCTTTAATTCCTCAGGCCGAGGTATTCTCCAGGACCTGATGTCTTACACTGCACAGGGACCCACAGGTCCCCCAGGCCCTCCTGGTCCACCTGGCATCAGCAGGGTTTTTGCAGCCTATGGCAATGTCACCGAGGACCTCATGGACTTCTTTAGAAGTAAGTGACGTATTGACTTGATGTTTCTGGCTCATGCATATGAGATCTCTCCAACCTTCCGTAGACTTAGGGATTTTTTCACCTTTATGTGCTGCAAAAATACAGTCAAGATACAAAGCTGTGGGCAGACAGTCTGCCTTTCCATCCCCTTCCTCCCTTTTTGGGGAGGTGCAGTCTCATCATCACATCAGGTTTTCCCACTACGTGTAGGAAAGTCATCCCAAACCCTGAAGGCCATCGTGCTTGCAACCCCTGTGGCCCATTTTAACAGGTAGAGCAATGTGAGCCAGCTGCTCACTCTGTTCTCAGATTCCCCTCCCTGAGTGTGGGCCAGCTCCAGCCCTGGTGACAGCCACGACACCCAGAGAGGGTGGCAGAGTGGTGCTGGTGAGATGAGCTCACAGCCCACGCCCCTGGGACTTTGCTGGGACCAAACCCATTATTTAAAAACCTGCTTGCAGTCAGTCTAATCCCATCTAACCTAGAGACGTGCCCTTCCAGTGTGACTCACTGCTTCTCTAAGTCAACACAGAGCTCTTTGCAAGTGGTTTGTCCCACTCATTCATTCAGCCTCTCCCATCATTTCTCTCTCCAGCATATGGTACCATCCAGGGGCCACCCGGTGAAAAGGGGGAGAGGGGTTATCCTGGACCCAAAGGTAAGACTTGCCAGCCTTTCCCTCTCAAGCCCTGTAACGCCCAGGAAGCAGCACTGTGTCCACAGAGATAGTCGGGCACTGGGCTGCTCAGGGTCACAGCCTCCCCACAGTGGAGGTGGCACCTTCAGGATCTCAGACCAAGCATCGTCCTAACTTGGTCTTCCTCACCCTGGCCTGTCCCTGTTCGTGGGCCGGTCATGCTCAAGAGCAAACTTGGTCTTCTCATTCCTTCAGGTGACCCTGGACCAATGGGCCCGCCAGGACGCCACGGGCACAGGGGACCAAAAGGAGAGAAAGGCGAAAAAGGTATGAACACGTGCCGTGCCCAGGAGAGCAGGGTTTGCCAGTTGGGGGTGCCCCAGGCACCAGCCCATCTCTGGGAACCTTGGGAGAACCCACATGGCTCCATTTTGTTGGTTTGGTTTGGTTCTTTTGTCTTTTCCCCCCCCCCCACATGAACTTTTCAGCTAACCCTCCTTTTGCCTTTCTTGTCCCCAGGTGAACAAGTGTATGTTGGCAGAAGAAAAAGAAGAAGTGTTGGGGTTTAAGGAAAGAGCCAGCTCAGTGCTGCACTGGGCAGCACTCCCAGCAGCCTATGGAGAATTACCCTGAATCTTCACTGCCTTAATGCTAAAGCGTCCTTGCCGATGAGCTAACCGCGCAGGCTTGATAGTTCAGTATCGCTGCTGAGATTTGAATGGCTCTTCTACCTGTCCAGCATGGCCCTCACGTGCGTATTATTTCCTCCTGTTGCTGATGTTTGGCTTAGTGCCCCCAAGTTCCCACGTCTTGGGCTGACAAGGGCTTCCCGTCTCACCCAGTCCAGGCTTCTTGTATTGCTCCCAGCTATGTAAAAACCTGTTCTTTAACAACTAGCCAACTATCCAGCAAAAAGAAAAAAAAGAAACCAATCCCTCCCCTCCAAACGCATGAGTTTTCAGAGATCAGCTTCAGCCTACAGGAGAAAAGGCTCCGTAAGAAACCCTGGGACTAAGCTTGCTCACCGCTTTGGGATTTCCTCTCCGCAAGCTCTGCTGTGCCTGCCCTAAGCGGGAGGCCGGCGGGGCTCTGGCAGCAGCGGGGTGCAGCGCGTGCAGGTGCCCTGCGGGGAGCCCGGGTCAGCAGGACAGCCAGGCGTGACCTGCACAGGGGCCGAACCGAAGCACTTTCAAACGTGATTTGTTTTAAAAATATTTTTGTATTCTATTTTTTAAACATTGGGGAAAAAAAGATTTTTTTTTTAATGTAAACAGCCCAATTAAAGTGTGTTTTTCACCTCACGCTTGCCTGATCCGTGTTCCCTTGGGCAGCCAGGACCGGCGTCACTGTGACCGTGGGCGGACGCACCTTGTGCCGTCGCTGGCTGGTTTGTTTGGCATCGCTGCTGCGTGACCCAGGCAGACACCGAGCTGCTCCTCGGCTGCTGGCAGTTTCCAAACCCGTTAGCAGGAGCCTCTGCACGTTGTCCCAGGGCGCCGCAGTCATCGGCTTCTTCCTTGCAGTGAGGAAGGACTCGCGGAGCTTAAGTGTTGGAGAGCATTTAAGTATCTCAGGAAGCCCGGAGGCAGGGTGACGGCTGAGCTGCAAGGCAGCGCCCCGCTTCAGTGCAGGCGCGCAGCCCGCAG